TTGGTGACTGCACAATTGAAGGCTTCAACTCCATCAAAAGGACCTGTGTGCCATTCAAAGGACAAAGGCTCCTGCAGTGAAATAGAAGATTTGCCATATCTTTCCACCACTGAAATGTACTTGTGTCGCTGGCACCAGCCAGCCCCTTCCCTGTTGCAAGAGCCTTCTCCCAAGAAGGAGGAGACTGTAGCAAGTAAGAGGCTTGCTTGTACCTTTGTGGTGATTGGTTTGATGTTGGGTTGCAGGGGTCATGGAACTCATTCACTGGGGGGCTCCTTAAGAGTCTTGAACACTTGAAGACAGCTAGAGAGCAACATTCCATTTGCGAGTGATGCTGGGTCTGGATTATCAAAGCCTTTGAAACCCTGCTGTAGACACTGTGTGAGCAGTTTATGAAGATCAAACACCCTATTTAGTTAACTGCAGTGATATATATTAATAACTGAGATTTATATCTCACTGTTCTCACAGTATATGCAATAAACACCCCTTTCTGTCACCATCGGCTCCCTTTCATAATATTTCATGATTGGGGGGGAGGGTTGGTTGTACACATGAAAGGAAGCATATCAGCTAATTGTCAGTTGAAAATTAGCTGAAGTTATCCAAGAGAAGTGGACTAGTTTGTGTAAATGAGAAGTCTGGTAGTGCTGGAGCTTTCCAAGGTAATAGGTTAGGTCTCTCTCCCCCTTCATTCCCTTCCTAGGCATCTCCTAGGTTATAAGCTATTTTGGCCGTATAATATCACAAAGTTGCTCTGACATATTTTTCAGTGACTAAAGTTTTTGTGGTAATTGTTTATCCTAGCTTTATGAGGGTGCTGCTGTAGCATTGTCACCCTGTGGGACAAGATACAGTTAAGTTTTGAAATCCACCTGCCTGAATCAATATCCAAACTAGAGTAGCATTCTGAAGGGAGGTATACATTCAATCAGTAGCTATTCTAACTTTCAATGAAGAAAAAGGGTGAAAGTGGAGCAGTAGAAATAAAGGGAGGAGGCAAAAAATAAGTATAATTAAAATGGCCTTCCTGTTACAGATTGGGTATAAAAGTTGGTCCTGCTGTGGATTAGAAGAGATGGATTAGCAAACAGCTCTAATTAAGATAATCTGATTAGACTTTAAAAAAAGGATGAAGACAATTGCCAAAGTTCTGATGTAACAAAGTGCTAAGATGGTGTCAAGTTTATTAAGTCAAAATTATACCTATAGTGTAGCATTGTTAAGATGTGGCAAAGTTCCGGTTGTACTTTACATTGGAACAAAGTATGGAAGGGTTCACATATCACAATGAGCCAAGTATTCTAGAATTCTGAGCTAATGTGCTGCCACACACTATTCAATTGCTGCCAATTGACCCCTTCTATAAGTGGGAATGGATAAATGAATGTCTTTAATCAGATTGTTCTCTAAACTGGGATCCTTGTCTTGCTTCTTACAAGCCAAGGGTCAGAAACATGAACAAAGCATGACTTCTAGTACTAGATTGATAAGAGCACAAACTATAGATCCTAGGTATGGTGTCATCATAATTTAGCCATGGAAAGAGATTTTACGGCTTGTGTATCTGTTCCTGGGAGCAGACTGAGCAGTGTTTGTGGTTACGTAGCAGTGGTGGGTTCCGGATTCCGTTCCAATTGGTACGGTTGGAACGGCCCCGGCGTCATCCACATGGACGCATGCAGCGCACATGCACACGTGCTCTGCACGCGCACATACACACGTGCTCTGCACGCGCATGCGCCATACTTGCCTGTGATGCTTCCGGAAGTCTCCGTAATGCTTCAGCTGCTCGGCGGAGTGTCGCGCAGGCGCCGTACGCGCCATGCGCAGAAGCGCCAAAAGCTTAAAGGACAGGTAAGGAGCTTGGGTGGGCGGGGGGGCCCTCTGGAGCGCAGTACTGGAACGATACCTGGTGCTCCGGGCAGGCTCTGGTGCGCCCGTACCGGGGCATACCACCTGCAACCCACCACTGTTATGTAGCCTGATTCACAGTAAGCCAATATTTGCAGATATTCAGTCCTACTGTGATATGCAGACAAGATCAAATTCAATTATGTAAATTAATGTGTACATGTTCTTATTTTTAATTCTGATTGCATGGGTTAAAAATTGCTAAAATGTTTTGTAAAACACAAAGGTATGTTCGTTTAGCTGTGTGTATAAATGGTGCTGATAATAGAAGACAGACTGTTAACCTTTGAATGATAGTGTGTTTGTATAAGTAATTAGACAATGAGAGACTGAATAATAGGTTTTGAGCTATCCAGAATTTATCTGCACTGTGGCCTAGACTCTTGTAGGAATCAGCATTCCTAGCTGCTAGGAATACTGTACTCTGTACTCTGCATTATTAAAAAGTTTTCCAAATTTAATATTCCAAATTTCTTATGTAAAATATGTGATAAAAAGTAATATTTACATAATTTTACTGAATTGAGCCTTGACTTTACATAGCAAGGAAAACATTGTAGCTGACATGATCATGAGCTGAAATTTTGGAAAGATGAAGGATAAAAAGAAAGTGTTCATTGATCTTGTAGGTTCCGGTCTTCTCAAAATATTGACTCATTTGAAATCACTTCATTTTTTTATTGAACTACAGTTTTCAGGTTTTCTAAAGAGAAGCCATGATAGTTAAGTTGGTTTATCTTTATAGTATAGGCAATTGAAAGGATCTTCTAGCATAATGTCTGGGGCTTTAAACCATTGCAAGCATACTTTCAGCATACTTTCATATCTTTATACATGACAACTAAATTTGGGACATGGAAAGAAGTACAGGTAGTCCTCAACTTAGGACCACAATTGAACCCAAAATTACGTTGCTAAGCAAGACACTTGTTAAGTGAATTTTGCTCCATTTTATGTTACGTTTGTTAAATGAATCACTGCAGTTAAATTAGTAACATGGTTAAGTGAATCTGGATTGTCCCTATTGACTTGTCAGAAGGTTGCAAAAGGTGATTGGATGACCCCAGGGCACTGCAACCATCATAAATAAATGCTACTGTGTTTCCCTGAAAATAAGCCCTAGCCTGAACTTTAAGCATGCGCCTAATATAAGCCCTATCCCAAAAATAAGCCCTAGTGAAGAATAGTAGAACAGTAACAAATTGAGGTCCTGGTATCTCTTTGTGTCTTTGGCTTTGCCCTTGACTATTTGATTGTTTTTGCTAATGTAATAAGGGCTTGTGTCTTAATAATTGCCATGCTATATTTGTTTAAAAGTTCATTAAATCCAGCAGCTTATTTCCATCTGCAGCCAGTTTGTTATTTTAGGCAGTTCAGATGTCAGGAACAATGAAAATAGCTACCTGGTCATCTGCCTCAAATATTCTGAAATTTTTCATTTAGATCAGTGGTAGTCAACCTGGTCCCTACCACCCACTTGTGGGTGTTCCAGCTTCCATGGTAGGGGTTTTGTCCGATACTGAAGCACTTTCCTTTTTTTAATTTAATTGACTTCCCTACTTTATAAATCACCATTACTGTGGAACCGGTGGGCAGTTAGAAAATTTTACTGCTAACAGAGATACAAAAGTGGGCGGTAGGTATAAAAAGGTTGACTACCCCTGATTTAGATAATAAGGATAATAAGCATTCATGAATCCATTTCTTTTTTAAAAAAATATTGAGCCCAATGTGTCTTGCAGGATCTTGTGATCCTTAGCCAATTCTTCAGGTGAAGCTAGAGCTAGTTCAAACTCAGAAGATTTGGTAATGATTTGCTATAAAGACCTAGTTTGTGAGGCCTCTTTAAATTATAGATAAATGATCAACTGATATAATCTTTAGTGTTAATCTCTTCAAAACGTTAGCTTGACAACTTTCAAAAAATGTTCCCGGTAACTTTAAAAGTGTGGTAGAAAATGCAGTGTTGTTTTAACAGCCAGCACATGATGGTAAAATAGGCAATTGCTTTATGAAAAACAAGAAGAAATTTATAGTCTGAAAAGACCATTGGCTTACCTGAACGGTCGTTCTCTGGGCGCTGCGAGGAGAGTCCAAGCGTGGGCTAACACAGCCTATCTGCCCTTGGACTGAGTAATGATTTTCTTGACCACGCCTCCCTTTGCCTCTCCATGTTCAGTTTAAAAACGAAAGGACAATCGTATGGTAAGAGTTCACAGTCAATGATACAGTCACAGCTTGTAAGAAACCTCCCTGGGTGGGTTTGGACTCTCCTCGCAGCGCCCAGAGAACGACCGTTCAGGTAAGCCAACGGTCTTTCTCCAGTGCGCTGCTTGGAGAGTCCAAGCGTGGGACATGCCCAAGCTATAGAGTCCCAGGGCAGGCAAGAACTGAAGCCTCCGTAGTCTCAGCAACTCTGAAAAATTCTTCGTCCAAAGGAGGCTTCGGCTGAGGCAAAGGTGTCTATTTTATAGTTCTTTATAAAAGCAGTGGGGGAAGCCCATGTGGCCGCCCTGCAAATGTCCAGAATAGACGCCTGGGTTGCCCAGGCTGCTGATGCTGCCACGCTCCTAGTAGAGTGCACGGTGACCTTGGACGGGGCCGTCTTGCCCTGATGTTCATACGCTAGCTTAATGCAAGCGTGCAGCCAACGACCTACGGTGTGAGATGAGACCTTGCGGCCGAGAGACCCAGGTAGGAAAGAGATGAAGAACGCCTCTGAGCGACGGAACTCCTTAGTTCTTTTAACATAAATGCGGACGGCACGTCTTACGTCCAACTTATGCCATTCATGCTCTCTCGGGTGAGAAGGTTGAGGACAAAAGTTAGGCAATATAATCTCGTGCTCTATAGAACAGAGAGTTAATTTTAGGGGTAAATGAAGGATCGAGTCTCAATATAACCCTATCAGTGTGGATCACGCATAAGTCCTCCCTGACTGAGAGAGCCGCCAGTTTGGACACCCTGCGTGCAGAAGTGATAGCCACCAGAAAGGCAGTTTTGATGGTTAGGTGGCGTAGGCTAGCAGTGCGCAGAGGTTCAAACAGGGAACCCGTCAGAGCCTTTAAGACAAATGGAAGATCCCAGGACGGATATCTGTGGACCGTCGGTGGGCTGATGTTTGTCGCGCCCTTCAGAAAGCTCCTAATTTGCGGGTGCTGGCTCAGAACGAAACAAACCCCTGGCCAGGATGGTCGACAGTGCTGCAACCTGGCACCTGAGAGTACTGGGAGCCAGCCCCTTGTCCAGACCCTCCTGTAGAAAGTCTAGGGTCTGAGG